CAGACAACTTTCGGAAAGGTAAGTAACAAAAATTTCCGGTTTATAAAACGTTTATTGACGAAAGATCTGTTTTCAATTTACAAGGCATTCAAGCAAAATTTCGTCGTTCCAAAAGGCTACCTATACCTATAGGCTACAAAACCTTCTTTTTGGCGCCAGAAGTTATGAAATGTTGGAAAATTGCTTAAATCCGTCTAATCGCGAGATTTTGGAGTTTTATGGTTCAAAAAAATCGGTTTTTATTTGTTTAAATGTTTGTAAGATTTTGAAACTTAAAAGATTTTGGAAATAGTCTAAGACAACGTGGGCTAAAATTTATAAAATTTCCAGGCTTTGTCCGAGTCCTCAGCATCCTCTGCAAGAAGGTGTCCTGTGGACTGTGCTGTACGAGTGAGCCAAAGTCGATGAGCAGGATGGAGGTAATTCAATATTTTTTCGGCTCGCCAAAATACGCCCTGTCACTATTCAGACGACCCGGAGAACAATGAGCAGGTCTTTCCTTTCATTGCTAGCTCGACAGTTTTTCCCCCAATTTTGCATACGTTTTTCTTGCTTTTGCCACGCTCCCTGTGCGATCAATATCTTGAAAAAAAATACATAAAAACGGTGGAGAATAGTTTAATTTAGATAACAAATTTCCACACGACACAGACGACGGGTAGTCTTCGGCCTTCGAGGAATGCGGTTGCGGGATCGCAGGTGGGGCAGGCTGGCAGAGATAAACTAGAACATTTTTCATTTCCAAACAGCTAAAAAGGTATTATTGAAGGTACCGACAAGGTACGTTTCCTAAATTTTGTGGCCGTTCGCTATGGATTTTGCCTGCGACGACACGCAACGCGCTTTCCAAGCCTAGCTTTCTAGCTTTTCATCGCGTAATGGATTGCGATGCGACAAAATCAATAGCCGAGCCTTCTACAGTAAAGGGATCGTGCCAGCTAGATTCCGAGCTCCTGATGACTTTCAACTGTATCAACCGTAACTTTTTCAGGTGAACCCTTCCGAACTCTGCAGCCTCCTCTACGAAGAGCAGCAGAACCAGATGGCGGGCCACTCCCAGCGACTGCACTCCTTCCTGGAGATGCACGACATCGGCAGGACGCGATCGGCGATCAGCCTCAATTTAAATCTCAACTTGTCTAATGTTCGCAATGTGTAAAGTGATGTTTTTCAAGGTTATTTCCTGATTTTCACATTCTCATTTTTCACAGAACCAAATGAGACATCTCAAACGAGAGAGAGATAGACAAACTGAGAGAAAGAAAGTGAGAGTGAGAAAAAGAGTCAACGAGTGAGAGAGTGAGAGAGAAGGAGAGAGATATAGACAAAGAGAGAGAGAGAGCGAGAGAAAGCGACAGATAGAGAGTTTTATTCGAACACTGACAAGTTTTCGAATGGCGTGGTCAGACACAACATCTAAAAAAAATTGCAATTTTTGCAAGTTTGTAGCCTTGTGGTATTCCTCTACTTTCCACCTAAATTTCAACTCTACTTAGGTCCCTCTACAAAAAATTCTTGCTTCAAAGCGGACGCCGAAGGCTCAAATTTCTTTCCCCCCCTGCCGATCCCCCTCTCCCTGCATAAGCCATGCCTTTATGGGAAAATTGAAAAATGACCTTCCTGCGAGGATGGGCAGGACCCAAGGCAAAACACGGCCACTTTTCCACCCCTATAATAGGGCGGTTGAATCCAATTATCCCTTCTGGGTCGATGTGCTTCTACGGTCCCATTATCTCTTCTGGCAAACACTCAGGCAGACACATGGTTGTTAGCTCGGAGGGGGAGGAGGAGCGGCCTTGCCAATTTTCGAGGTCAACCCTGCGGCCAAACTCGCGCAGACTCGCAGAACAGGGGCTCCTTTTATCGGGTGAGTGCGATCTTGGCCTATTTTGGTTAGTTGCGAGGTTTCGGAGTGGCTTTGAATTTTTCTTTGGGAATTTTTGTATTTTTGCCTAGGCCGAAGTCCAAGCCGACGCCTAGGTTTAGGTTTAAGCCTAAGCCGAAGCCTAACCCAAGCCTGCGCCAAAGCGTAATCCTAAGCTAAAGTCTAAGTGGATCGTACCAAAAAGTACATTTGGAGTCTAAAAGTTAAAGTCAACTCTGACTCGGCTTCCGCTCTTCCGTATTCTGATCTGACAAGGAGTGCTTTTTTTGAGTCATCTGCAAAACCTTACGAGACCTAGCTCATTCCATAGAGAATTCGATTCTGAACAAAACGCCGTTGTCCTTTTTTGCAGAATGGCTATCCCTGATTTTATAAAATTGTAAAACTGCACCCAAAAGCCTCTCTTTGGGCTCGAAAACTCATGGTAAGGGACGGTCACTAGTATTTTAATTTTATAAAATCAGGGATAGCCATTCTGCAAAAAAGCACAACGGGGTTTTGTTCAGAATCGAATTCTCTATCGAATGAGCTAGGTCTCGTAAGGTTTTGCCGATCACTCAAAAAAGCACTCCTTGTGAGGTTATTGAAATTCGCACTTTTCTTCTGGTCAACAACACTATGCCCATTCTCTTCATTTTTCCCATGTTCCTGCTTTTGGAGCTTTGATTTATGTTGGTGAATTTTTCTAAATTTTTTAGTCCCATTAATTTTTGGGATAAATCTTTGATAGATTTCTCCTAGTATTATTTTTGATAAAGCTGGGACAAGCCTAAAAACCCCAAAAACCCCTTTCAAAAGACGGAGCAAGTTGTGTGATCTGTTACACACCCGTGTGGAACATGAGGAGCAGGAGTTAAAACTCAACTTGTCAACATATTTTGACGAATGGCCCCGGGGGTTCGAGGGGAGATCGATCATTGCAAAACTGGGTTTTAGAGGGAATCTGTCTTTGGCAGTTAGAGTGCTAACTTTTTGGCTCAAATCAGGATAGAAATTTTTAAAGAGATTGGGTAGGTTTGAGAGCCTAGGTCAATACCATCGCTAAACAATTAAAAAAATTGAAGAATTGCTACGACTTCAGAAACTTTTTTTGCTGACGAAATTCAGCCCTAAATTCGCTTAAAACTTCACTAGACTTTCCTACAGTTTGAAAAACCTTGTTTTCCCCTCCCAACCCCCTTATCCTGTATTTACCCTGTACCCCGAGCATATAAAATTGCAAAAAGAATGTTATCGTGGGTGATGTCTGCCTTCCCTGCTTCCCCGGGGGGTCTTTCTGATTCATCGCCCCGCAGACCCCGAAGAGGAGCGAAGATGGGCTGATTCTGACAAACAACACACCCCCCGCTTCTGACAATAACATGTGGAGAAGGGGTGGGGACAGACACTGTGAATGCATAGATAGTCTGAAACGTTGGTTGTTTATTCATTTCTTCGATTTGTGATAAACGGGATTCAGAAGCTAGTCGAATTGTCTGGCCATTCTTTCAGGGCTAGATTTTTTGCTCAAATATTTTTATAAACAGGTAAATCCGGTAGAGTTTTTACAACGTACCGTAGCCATTTTAAAGGGATGTACAAGTCATAGCTGGCCTTTTTTGTGTGCCATGGATTTCTTAGGGTTTAAGCAGATCAGGCGACATCCACCGCGATAGTCGCTCAATAACTTTAAAAACTGGCGTAATCTACTGCGCAACGCGATGAAGTCTGCGTGCGCTGCGTGTCGCGACAGCGGTCAACTCCGTGGCCAATCCAGAGCTAATAAAATTTAAATCTGACCCTTTTAAGTAAATCACAAACGTTCTTTTGGCAACCAGAACTTCGACATGCCTTTAAAGAGCCAGGTCAACCTTTTAAAATTAATTTTTGCTTAATTTTGCCCCGTTATAGCTACATTTTTAAAGGGATGGCATCACAAATTCAGCCAAGCCGTCAAATTTTTCTGAACGTTTGCACGGTTAATTCGATGACCGGTCTTATTGCAACTCTCATATACCAACATTTCCAGTTTGACGGTCTATATTTCCATGTCTTTTTCAAAAGATGCAGTAAATTCTTGGTATCTAATTAGCGTTCTTAAAGGGACCGGCAAGCCGGGAAGTACACCAAAAGCTTGACCCCGGTCTGAAATGGGGTTTTGCTAGGTTGCTGAACGCTCCATCCCCTCCAAAAATACTAACAAAGTCAATTAACGCTCGGTTGGGGCCCCTAAAAAAGTGCTGGAGTGTCAATTCCCTCCCCCCTTCCCCAAAAAAAACCGCCAACAGGAAGGCCATTTTTCCAGCGCCCCACAAATCTCGGACACATATGGGGTCGGCCTCCGGCAGCCCGGCTCAGCCATTTTTCACGGGTTTCAGCCACTGGAGAAACAAATTGGTCACTTTTTTAGAGCAAGAAGAGCCGGCCATCCTCCTCCTCCTCTCCTCCCCGTTTTCTGTTTTCAAACGGACCCCCTATGTGTCAGCTGCCCGACTCAGCCACTGGCTGACCTCTTATCAAATAGCCGGCGGCGGGGGGCAGTGTGGCCATTCCCTGTTTTCTTTGCCCTCTCTGTTTCTTTTGCGATTGGTCTTGTCCGAGAAGCCCTTGGGGCGAGGAGCCGCAGATGGCTATCATTCGGGACCCCGACCTCTTCTTTGCGAGGCGGGACTTCACTTTTGAAATGTAGCACTTTTGCAGAGGGTTGGGGATTTCTTCGGGATTCGCATTCATTCTAGACTTCTAACTTTTTGTCAGATCCTGATTTTACCTAGTTACCGTAATCCGATACCTTGGAAACCAAACGCTTTTATGTCCTTTCCCAACAAAAAATGGGAGTTTTATGTCCTTTCCCAACAATTTCACAACCTCAGATTTTTGATGTCTCAGCAACTCTGGGATCTCATTTTCATTCTCGCGCTTTCTCGTTCTCTATCTCTCAGTCTCGCTCTCTCTCTCTCTCTCGCTCTCTTTCTCGCTCTCTCCCCGATTTTGAAACCCACGAATTTCCGCTTTCCACACAACTCTTTATCATTTGCTGCCTATCACTTGTTGACAAATTCAAATTTCTTGCCTGCAATCGGGTTCATCAGAAGGGCATCGCCCCGAAAATACCATACTCAACTCCGTGTTTAGCATGAACTTTCTCTGGGCCCTGGTGGCCCTATTCGCCGTCAGTGAGGCGTGGGCCAAGTCGGATCGGCACCATCGTCACATGCGAGTGACGGGACATCCACAGATTGGAAGGTAAGCTTAAAGCCTAAGCCAAGCCTAAGGAGAAACTTATATAATCTGATACTTCCAGAATCCCGCTCAAGAAACTCACCACCATCCGCGACACGCTTTTCGAAGCCGGCTCCTACAAAGAGTTCGCCAAGCAGCGTGAGCTCGCCTTGGCCAAGCGCATCCGCAAGTACCACCCCCACCGCCACCACAAGGACAGCAACCGTCTGTTCACCCCGGATGAGCATCTAAGGAATTATATGGATGTGAGTGACACTTTCTTGAGTACGCTACCCTCCGATCCCTAGGCCCAATACTATGGAGAGATCTCCATCGGAACTCCCGCTCAGAACTTCACTGTCATCTTCGATACTGGATCGTCCAACTTGTGGGTCCCGTCGCGAAAATGCCCGTTCTACGACATTGCTTGCAGTAAGTAGAACGGAGGAGAGAGAGCGAGAAGGCGCGAGAGCTCGAGAGTCGAGAAAAAATTCGCGATCATTCCAGTGCTCCACCACCGCTATGATTCGGGAGCTTCCTCCACCTACAAGTCGGACGGACGCAAGATGCAGATCCAATACGGTACCGGAAGCATGAAAGGATTCATCAGCAAGGACTCTGTCTGCGTAAGTCTTTCTAAGCATAAGCTAATCCGAAGCCTAATCCTAGACCTAGCTTAAGCCTAGGCCTGATCCTAGTCCGAATCCTAAGCCTAAAAACCACTTTTTCAGGTCGCCGGGCTCTGCGCCGAGGACCAGCCCTTCGCCGAAGCCACCTCTGAACCCGGCCTCACCTTCATTGCCGCCAAGTTCGACGGTATCCTCGGAATGGGATATCCCCAAATTGCTGTTCTCGGTATGTATTTCCCTTTAGTGTCATATCATCTTTCGTCCAGGCGTCTCCCCCCGTCTTCAACACGTTCATCGACCAAAAGAAGGTCGCCCAGCCTGTGTTCGCCTTCTGGTTGAGCAGGTAGTAAAAAAGCGGAACGTCGAATAAAAACTGACGTTAGGGATCCTGATGCCGAGATTGGAGGCGAGATCACCCTGGGTGGACTCGACCCCAACCACTATGTCGAGCCGATCACCTACGTGCCGGTCACCCGCAAGGGCTACTGGCAGTTCAAGATGGACAAGGTAGGAGAAAGGGAGAGAGAGAGAGAGAGAGAATAAGAGCGTGAGATAGAGAGAGTGCTAGCAAAACCAAGTAAAAACCCAACTTCAGGTCAGCGGGAAGTCTGGAGCCATCGCCTGCACGAACGGATGCCAAGCCATCGCAGACACCGGTACCTCGCTCATTGCGGGACCGAAGAAGCAGGTTTGTAGCCTTCGACGTCTAAAGATATATAGTGTCGTACTTCGCAACGTTGCTGAGATTTTGGGGCGGATTATTATTACTACTATTTTGTGTACCGTAAACGCGACGTCTTCATACCCAATTTTCAGGTCGAAGAAATCCAGAACTTCATCGGCGCCGAGCCCCTGATGAAGGGAGAGTACATGATTCCGTGCGACAAGGTCCCTTCGCTCCCCGATGTCTCGTTCCAGATTGGCGGCCAGGAGTACACCCTCCATGGAACTGACTATGTCCTTAATGTATGTTTTTCTCTATGTCTCTCACTCTCTCGACTTATAGATCAAATTACGCTTGATGTTTTTAGATCACCGCCGGCGGAAAGTCGATCTGCCTCTCCGGATTTATGGGAATCGATCTGCCGCCCCAGGCTGGAGATCTCTGGATTTTGGGAGACGTCTTCATTGGACGGTTAGTAGTACTAGTGTTTTAAAAAATATTCAAGGATCAATTTCGAATGAAAAAATTAATGGAATTATGTTCAGCTACTACTCGGTCTTCGACTTTGGCCAGGATCGCGTCGGATTTGCTCAAGCCAAGGACCGCAGCGGCAGGCCGGTAAGAATTTTTTGAACTCCAAAGCCTGAGCCTAAGCTAAGCCCAGGCCTAACCCCTTCAGATTTTCAATTTAACGTCAACTTTAGATCGACCCTCCTGTCCGCACTGTCCCCCACTACAAGAAGTACATCGACTCCCGCGAGGAGGACTTCTAAATCCCCCTCATTAACTTTGACCCAATTTTTAAGATGTATTCACCCTTTCGATGCATAAATATTTCATTTTTATCTGTATTTAGTCACGTTTTGCAGCTTTTAGCGATACTACACGATGATCCGAACGGACGACATCAAAAGAATGTGTCGAAGTCCTCTGTGAAGGGCGGCGTGTGAAGAAGGGGCGCATATATTTGCCATCCCGTGTGACAAGTGGCCGCCTACAAACAATCAGCCCCGCGTCGCATCACGACCCTGAAAAGCGGAAAAGCCGTACGAGCCGTTTTGATAAAGAACGGCAAACATTACGTTTTGTTTTGGAGTTTTTACGAATACTTTGCTTTCTGTCACTCACTCTCTCTCTTTCTCTCTCTCTCCCTCTCTCTCTCTCTCTCTCTCCAAATTCAAACCTTTCAACCCCTCACCTCACACCCGAAAATCCCTAAAAGCCTCTTCCGCCCGACTCTGTTAAAAAGACCCGACTAACAGCATTAGCAAGACGAGTCCGATGTCCACAGGTGTGTAGCGGACAGTGGCGATTAGTGTTGGACAGCACCCCAAAGAGAGCACCCCGGGGTGCTTTTTTCCCACCCCGGGGTGCTTTTATTTTCACCCCGGGGTGCTCTAAAAAAGCACCCCGGGGTGCTTTCAAACCACCCCGGGGTGCCCCGAAAAAGCACCCCGGGGTGGAAATAAAAGCACCCCGGCCGGGAGAGGGGTGCTCTGGAAAGCACCCCGCCCCTCAGTGGGGTGCTCCAGAAAGCACCCCAGCCGCCCTTGGGGTGCTCCAGAAAGCACCCCGGGGTGCCTTTTGGGGTGCTCTGTGGGGTGCTGTCTGGGGTGCTTTTTGCCAATGACCGCAATATATCAACTAGGCTATTTTGATCGAATCAGGAGATGAACATCATTTTCGAGCAGTTCGCACAACTCGGCGCCAATTCGATTGCAACTCATTTGGGGGTCGTTTGGTAGCATTTCTTCGAGGTTGTTGAACACGGCGGACGATTTCGAGACGTTTTTTTTTAATCGCGCTAGCAGCCTAAAGAAGCTGGATAGAATTGCTTTAAGCCATTGAGAAGGTTGCATTTTGAACGCTCTTTCCAACGGTATACTTGCCGTTCTCCAAAGTCGTCAGGGGACAGAGAGGGGAGCGTTTTAGTGCCGAAAGGTGTACCTGTCGAAGTTGTCGCCGCACTAAAACCATCATATCTCGATTTGCATTGCGAATCCTGGATCGCAAAGGGCACCATTCGAAAGAGCGCGAAAAGTTCTATCTGTCCAACGAGTTTTAGCTCTCGAGCAGCTTTGCCCAGGCTGCTAGCGCGATTAAAAAAAAACGTCTCGAAATCGTCCGCCGTGTTCAACAACCTCGAAGAAATGCTACCAAACGACCCCCAAATGAGTTGCAATCGAATTGGCGCCGAGTTGTGCGAACTGCTCGAAAATGATGTTCATCTCCTGATTCGATCAAAATAGCCTAGTTGATATATTGCGGTCATTGGCAAAAAGCACCCCAGACAGTACCCCACAGAGCACCCCAAAAGGCACCCCTGGGGTGCTTCCGAAAGCACCCCGGGGTGCTTTCTGGAGCACCCCAAGGGCGGCTGGGGTGCTTTCTGGAGCACCCCACTGAGGGGCGGGGTGCTTTCCAGAGCACCCCTCTCCCGGCCGGGGTGCTTTTATTTCCACCCCGGGGTGCTTTTTCGGGGCACCCCGGGGTGGTTTTGAAAGCACCCCGGGGTGCTTTTTTAGAGCACCCCGGGGTGAAAATAAAAGCACCCCGGGGTGGGAAAAAAAGCACCCCGGGGTGCTCTCTTTGGGGTGCTGTCCAACACTAGTGGCGATGAGAGCTGGGGGCTTTTGGCATCGGGCCGGATGGCGTGTGGGGATGGCTCAATCCTTCACCCCACCCGGTTGGTCTCTCAAAGGCGGAACCGGTCCTCCGGATCTGTCATCTGGACGACCCTGGTTCTATACCCCCCTCTTCACCCCCCCCCCCTCCCCCGGGGAAAACGAAACCTTATTCGATTGTAGTGTCCCCGCCATCGTTGGAGAGCGGGGATTTTATTTCACACTATGTTGGACGTTTAGCTTTGGACACATTTGGCCATTCGCCTAAGCTTAGGTCAAGCCTAAGCCTAAGCGTAAGCCTGGATCTAATCCATAGACCTTGTTAAGCTTCACGTCAGCGTAAGCCTAGGCCTAAGCCTATACAAAAGCGAAGCCAAAACGAAGCCTAAGCCTAAGCCGAAGCCAACGCGTACATCTAACGGTAAGCAAGCCGAAACGAACCTTCGATACCACAATTCTTCCAGTCGCAAAATTCGAATTTTTCCGATTTACCCCCTAACCTTGGGGAACACCTGTGGGGCGGAATTGATGTTCTTTGTGTCCTCAATGCGGGAAACATTTCGTCCCTCGTTTTTCTTGAAGGGTCCCCTAGACCTGTAAAAAATACTGTAGTTTTATGTTTAAGCAAAAACGCATTTTCCTTGCTTCGAAGCGTTAAATATTTTCTGCCCGATTCCAGGCCACAACTTGCAATCTATCCTCAAGTGCCACCAGGCCCCTCGAATTTTTTTTGCCAGCTCTTCACCGTTCGGCTCTCACAGTTCAAAATTTGGGCTGCTTGGCGTTTTGCAGCCTGTTTTTTGATGCGATGCCCCCCACTCGAATTCCTGAAGAATTATGCAGTCTGGCAGAAGCGATGAGAGCCAGGCAGAGGCGTTCATTGCCCTCTTTTCAGACGATTGTCGTGCTTGTGGGGAATCGTTTGGGCTGCGGTGAATGTGGTTGGCAGCCTGTTTGTACTATCGGCAGGGTGATCAGCGTGTTCTTATCATGTTCTCGCTGATCGGGCCTTTATAATAGCAATTTTTGTAGTTTTTCAAGGAATTTTTGCTGGCCTGCCCTCTACCTAGCCTAAGAACCCTGAAATGATCTCAACTACCCTTTCACTCCCAAACTTCCTCAAAGAATGCCTGCTAGCCTGCCTCCAATTCTTCAAAGAATCTCTGCTAGTTTGCTCCTAGCGTTTTGAATTCCCCCCTACCGACTTCGTTTCAAATAATCTTTGCCAGGTGGCCCTCTTCCCATTCGTTTCTCAAAAAAAAAATTGCCAGCAGCTGCTCCCTTTTAAGTCCGATTTTTCAAAGAAAGCTTGCCAGCCTGCCCCGGCCTTCACTGCAATTCCACAAAGGACCTCTGCCAGCTTGCGTCATGCCTGTCGGCTACCTCTTTAAAGAGGACGATTTAAAGGGAAGACCCATTTTGTGGGCTTCCGATAGAGCGATAGCGATAGTGTATATGATATAGTTGTGGCGATTTTCTAAGTCCCTTGAAATAGTCGCTTTCCACCCTTCAAAAATCACCATATTCAGATTGTTTACTGACCTGACCCTCCAGCCAGGGTAGGGGGGAATCTATGAGTGGCTGGGTGCGGGTGAAAGAATTCCGCCCTAGGCCTATCGACTGTGCGCCCCCGCCGGAACTCTTATTATTAGGCGCCTCCGGGTGCCTTCCGGGCGCTAGCATCGATTTTGGTGGATCGGTAGTTGCGATTACTATTTTTGTACGACGAATAGGATCTCACAGTAGCTAATCTTACGCTTTTTATAGGTTTTTACACGATTGAATAAAATATTAAGGAAATCAGATACGGCTACTTTCATACAATTTTTTTGTGATTCTACGTCAATGAATGTCAAAAGTACGACCTTATACGCTTTTATGCGCCTTAATGGAGATTTTCATGCAGGTTTTTGCCAGTTAATATCATTTCTTTCGGTTTATACGCATGTATAAGCATGCAAAATTTATTCTGCTTTTTTGGTAATCGTGAAGGCCTCTGATTTTGTAAGAAACAAACAGAATACCATCAAGTTCAACCAATATGTTTCCCTGCCCTTTTTAAGGTCACCGTCCCAATCCTCGAGCCCTTGTTTGGCCGCCGCGCCTCACATATGGAAATTTGCGCCTATATCCGTCGCATTGCCCCCATCGGCTGGTCGATGTCTATCGGAGCACGTTTCCTCCCCCCAAATCCAACAGCTCACAGCTATTAGCCCGACCTAATATATGCATCTATCGCCTCACGGCCATCTCTGAATTTGAGGAATTGCCGGTGCTGTTGTTGAAATGGGTTAATTGGGTGCGTTTTAGGCTGACCTTTTCAGGGGTTGGAGCGCGATTCACTCGGAAAACTGAATTTGGCCTCTTTTTAAGGTTTAGAGGCGCCGGTAAGTCAAATTCACGATTTAACTCTTTGCCAAGTGATTGGAACAAGAACCGAAAAAAAAACTAAATCAATTTCTAGGCCATTTTTAATAAGGTTTACCATTTTAAGTCAATAAGTTAAGTTGAAGTCTAAAATTAAGGTCCAAAAATCGAGCGCAACGTTGTTTTGGCATGAACAGAAACATTTGAATTGTCGTAGTTTGTAGGTATCGCTCGAATTTCACTGGTTTTTGTTTGCACAGATATTCTAGTTTTTCAAAGCTACTTTTAGATGCTAATTTTCAGATGAAGATTTGACGGCATTTATCCCAGAAAGCGTTAAAAACCCGTTTGAAAGACTACTGTTTCCCAATTCCAATATTTCCTCTGAACACCTGATAAAAACCAGCTGCCCCAAATAATGAACGTCTGCTCATCTTCCTCCATGCCTCTCCTCGCCTCACCTTGTCGCCTGACTCATCCTAGCCGACATATTCGACGCGGGCAGCGGGCCGGCTGAGTAATGGCGAAGAGGAGGAGTGTCCCGTAAAGTCAATAGCGGCGATCTTCCTGGTCCCAAAGCGATAAGCTTTTTGATTTTAGCATGTATTTTAGGAGCATTGATAATACTTTTTGATGTACGTTGTGAATTTCAATCCAAATTGCGTATTTTTACCAAAAATTATAGTTTGAAGCGTTCTACAGATTTTGAAGCGGCGCACTAATGAGCCTGAGAACCAGATGGTACTTAGGATTTACACACTCAGCGGCGGGAGGGGTTTTCCCAATAGTGTATGAAAAATATAACAAAAGTGCGCTTGGATACCTTGAATGACAAGAAAAGTTGTTTTGTAAAGTTGAAACTCACATTCCCTTAAAGCAACTTCACAACACCTTTAAGCCAACATCCACCTGCATTTCCCAGCCAATCCCCAGCCTCCTTTCCACATAAGCCGCCTTGCCCTCCTTGAAAAAAGTGGTCCTAGCCGAATGGAGCCAGCTACCCGCCAGCGGCTAACCGCAATTTGAGCCCCCCTCGCGAAACTGCTGGCGGGGATGACCTTGCATCGACATAGTATTGGTGCGTAGTATTCATACTTCCCCTTCGTAGCTACTGGGATCGCCGGACAATTGTCAACACACTATCTTGCACACCATTAGCCCTTCTGGGCAGTACAGCTGTCCGGAGGTGGAGTTCGAAGCGAGGGTTTTCAATGGGTTTAAACAGTCGTGTTTTTCGATCCTGAGGTTTCACTGCTAGCTGGCCCTTTGAAGGGCAGTACTTTTTCTTGCTCCTGGGTACTGTCGATACCTCAAAAACTTGTGAAAAACGTGTTTTCTTTGTCACACGTGACTCCCCGGCCGATCTAGCATTCCAAACGGTGATTATGCTACCCGAACTCCATATCAAATTTTTGTTTTCGCTTGCTTGAATTCAATGTTGTCTTTCCTCTATCATGCAAAAGATAATGGCGCTTGCCTTGAAACTTGATTTTGCTTTACCCCGAATTTCCCAAAAAATTTTCGATATCTCCGTTATCGTTGTGGGGATTTTGGCTGTGCCAACGATAGAGCATCAAAAAATATTGTAAGAATTTTAATTATAGTCCAAAAAAATGTAATATAAAAAAGTTTTCAGAACTTTTGGCCGTGGGTAGATAGATAAAGATAAAAAGATAGATAAAACTTTACCTCCCCTTTAGAATTCAAACCATACACTTTGCCCTAAAGGTATTACGTTTTTAAAATCTAAAAAGTGCCTGCATTTTCATTCTTACATTTTCATATTTCACCATTAAATATGACTCTTCTTGCTCTTTTGAACGCCACCTTGTTTCCCAGACAATGCGAAAAAAACTTTGCAAAGAACGTTTTTTGCAGGAGAATCGAGCGTGCGTTTTTGTTTACCTTGACATGATGTTTTGAAAATTGAAAAAACCGTGTTGTCCTCCTCCTCTGCTCATCCTCTCCGAATTGCTCCTACACACAAGAACTGTTTTTCGATCCCCCTGCTCTTGAAAATTGCTCGAAGTCGCGCGGGGCCCATTTGAACCCACCATAAACCGACGAGGAGGCAAACAGGTGAAGGGTCAATTTTTGTTTCCCATAGCCTTGAGTTCTGGAAGGTTCTGGAGAGGTTGTTTTGAAGTTTTCGGATTTCTTTGATTTTTTCTAGCTGCAAATTTTTGCAAGCTACTTTTTGATGCTCTTTAAATCTTCCTGTCTATCCACTCACCTCTGTAACAACGGTAAAGATGCCCTTGAGAACCTCAAAACGTTTCTCTATTTCAAATTTTTTCGATCTGGGTATCTTTCAAAGTGGCTTCTCAATGTTCTCTCTATAACGTTTCAACCATGGCATAGCACGAATTTAGATGGTATGAAGATGCCCGTTTCTACAAAAGTGCCCTTTTCCGTGCAGCAACGGAAGCAGTTTTTCGAGCAGCTCTCCGTCGATGAGGACAAGGTTGAGCTTTTTAAACAACCGGCTTAAACCCAATAGTTCAGAAACCTATCCCCCGCCAACCCCTAAAACATGTCAAAAGTGAGCCGCTGGTCGCCATCGAGTCGAAAACGTGGGTTTCAAAAGGAGTTCTAGACATTACTAGCCATTTGCAGGCCGAAAGTAACACCGCCAAAACCGCGTCGCACCTTTGAACATGATATTTACATGGAAACAAAGCAATGTAAGCATCTTAGACATTTTTATAACTTTTGCTAGTAAATTTCTCGGCTCCTGGATCTACGAGGGACTCCACGTCATCACCGGAAACGGCATTCATCATTGAAAAGGTGGGGAGAAATTAGAATTGCTTGGTCACCCTTGTTCGCTTTTGCTCTCTGTGTGTCTGGTTCTCGCTCTCGCTCTCTCTTTCTCTCTCTCTCTCGTTTTATCTCACTCACTATCCCGTGTCTTTCTCATTCTTATTCTCTCCCTATATGTAAGGCTCTTGATACCTCATTTTGTGGTCCTCACTAGTTTTTTCTATCGTGGCTTCCTCAATCCCGCTCTCCCGTGCTCTCTCCCTCTCTCTCTCCCTCCCTCTCTCTCACACCCTCTCTCTCGTTCTCTCTCTTGCTGTCTTGTGCAAATCACCTTGGCCAATATTGACGGTTTTGAACCTTTATTCGATACACGATAGTAATCGGCAAATGATATTTTGTAAAGCATAGTCCTGAGTGGGATTCGGTCATTAGGGCAGCGCATAGATGTTGATGCTGTTGTTGTCGTGGCGACTGGGCGCTTATTTTCCGGGGCGGATGATGGTGGTCCTCTGGATGACGGTTGGGCGTCCACGGTTGAAGCCACCGCCAAATCCTCGGTTGAAGCCTCCGCCGAAGCCGGGCCTGTTGAAGCCGCCGCCGAAGCCGGGGTGGAAGCCGAATTGACTGGAATATCGTAGTTAATAACTTACCTTAGCTTAAGGATAAGGGGCAAAACTTGACTTTACAATCCCCCCTCCCCCCGGCCGGAAGTTCCAAAATATTTTTCGCTATAACTTTTTTATTTTGCATTACCTTGGGCCGTGATTAAAACTATATTAACTATTGATTAAACATTTTTTGATGCTCTATCGAATGGCCTAGCCAAAATTTCGACAAAATAGCGGAAATGTCGACAATTTTTGGAATTGTGGTCAGAGGTGAAGTAAAGTCTTACCAAATACATGTTTCCGTCTAAATTCTAAATTTCCGGCTTCAAATTTTGAGCTCAGAAGACGTATTTTCAAAGCTAATGGAGGGCAAAATCGATCAAAAAGGAAAACTGAGCTGATGGTACCCAGATGAAGTCCCAGAAACTCACGGTGCGGCCGAGGCGAAGGCGAGCACGCAGAGGAGGAGGACGGCGAGGAATTTCATGGCTGGGTTGAGATTGCTCTGGTAAATACGCTGGGCCGCATCCTTTTATATGAATCCACAGGGGGAGGTCGGTAGAACAACAAGGGATGAAACGGATAGACGGATAGACCCCAGGATCTGTCCGCCAAATGCCAGTATCTTGACGTGCTCTCTTTCTCACGGGTCTCCACATATCTTGCTCATTTCTCCTTGCGATCTCGTTCTCCCTCTCTCTCACTCTCTCTCTCTCGTGCCCCTTACTCCACTGTGAGATCCGGAAAGTGATATCGGTGCCCAGCTAGCCGAGCACCCCGGCATGTACAGCATCGTGTTGGCGGAACGGCTCGAAAAACCTGTGGACCCCGAAACTGGTACAAAAGACCGCAAGGTACGAAGAGACGCGAAAACTTGATGGGAGAACAAAAAACGCAAGCGGAGAATGACCTTGACGACCCCGGAAGTTATACTCATCTGGTCGCCTTCACCTGTTCGTTCTTTGTCGTTTACTGGGCTCTATGTGATGTTAGTTTAACGAGAGCGTAGATCCCGTTTTGACCCTTTGAAAAAGCGTAAAAAGGAAAATCCAATGTAATAACGACTCGAAATATACGCAATAGTCGTTTTAAAACAGCTCTAGACCTCGTCGATCTCAGAGGTTCGCACTTTTCACTGCTATTCCCAAAAATCCAATCTCAAATTTCAAATTCGATCAGCTATATCCCTATCGCTTTTTCACTCCCCCGCCGTTATCCCTCACGCCTGCCATTCATACAACCGACCTGTACGAAAAGAAAGTGCAATTTCGGGTGTCTGTGTATCGCTCTCAAGTAAATTCAAATGGGTGAGAGGAACTTTTTATCATCGCCCAAAATCATCCCGTTCGTCTGTTCATCATCCGTTCATGCCCTTGGAGCGGTGGCTGGGCCTGGCAGGGGTCTGGCTGTATCGGCTGGGGCCCGCGTTAGTACTCGGTCGGGCGCATCAGCATCATGCCTAAGAATCGCCATAGTTTTTGCGTATATTTTGAGCTTTATAAAGTCTGACTACCCACTCGCCTTTGATCTAGCCCACTATAGGGAGATACGGGAGGAAGAAAAATGTTCTTTAAGCGAAGCCTAAGCCTAAGCCTAAGCCTAAGCCTACGCCACGCCTACGCCTAAACCTAAGCCTACGCCTACGTCTAAGCCTAAGCCTATTCAAGACAAAACTCACGGAGCCTTCGCGACCCATCCAGCCGAGGCCAGGGCTAGCACGAATACAAGTAGAATGGCTAGGACTTTCATTGTGGAATGCGATGACCTGATAACTACGCTCTGCACCCACGGCTTTTATACAGATCCAGGAAGACGGATCGAGCAGCGTGAGATGCACCGAATCCAAACGGAAACACGCGTACTTGGGCTGCGTGCCAAGGCCAAATCGTCGGATTCCACTACCAGCACGTTGCGTAGCACGAGGTAAACTCTAGCACGAGCTTTCATCGATGATATCACCGGGTTTTCCGCATTAGCCCCGCACAGTGCCATGCCGTGAGAAAGATAGAGAGGGGGAGAAAGAGAGAGAAAGAGAGATGGAGAGAGAGAGAGAGAACAGAAGGAGAGAGATCGTGAAGCTTAACACTCACGATAATTCACCTCAAATTTGTTGATTGCACCGGAGCGAAGTCCGTGTATAGGACGGGCCGTGTTGTATAGTATGGCAGTAGATATTTTTTTACTTTTTATTAAATATAAAGCATCAGCTATTCGCGAGCTTAGCCCTTGATGACGGTCGTCTTGATGATGGTGGGTCCGCGCTGGGGTCCGCCGAAGCCGCCGGGTCCGAAGCGGGGAGGGGGAGGGGGAGGTCCTCGGTTGAAGCCACCGCCGAAGCCTGGTCGGATGATCGTCGTCTTCTCAACGACACGACCGAAGGGGACGGCGCTAAAAAAAATTAGATAAGTCGAGCTCGAAAAAGGTATCCATCCGACATCTCAAGCGGTGCTTTTGCCTTCTCGGGGGGGGGGGGGAATGAAGTGATCCATTCTTAGCAACAAATCTTTGAAATATAAACAGCTTCACTATTTTATTTTAGCTAAATATGGTTTCATTTTACGAAGAATATTTTAAGATGTTTGCAATTGAGTTAATTTTTCAATTTCCAGAACAATCACAAAAAAATTGCCCCCCGATAACACATAAGAACCGATCAAGCCTAAAAATCTCTTCAACAGCCATGCCCTAATCATCGAGCTGATCTACAAATAAATCAGGGCTGCAAGTCGAAGCCTAAGAATAGCAAAAACGTAGCTTACCTAGCAATGGCGACCAAGGCGACGAGCAGCATGACGAAGAACTTCATTGTGTTTTTAGTTTTGAGACAAGGTCTGCCTTATCCCACGATACTCACCCTTATATACCACCACCTACAGTGCGAAAGATCAGCAGCAACTTGCCAGACCGCTAAAATTAGCGAACGGACCGCGGGATCTTTTTCTCTTTTTGTGCGATTCGCCGACTTCTTTCCTTCGCACCGCCGTTTGGCCTATATCGCTTAAAGAAAAAAAGGGTCGAGTCGTGGGCGTCATTTCCTCCCCGGTCCAAGTGTATTTCGCAGATTTTGGCGAATTTTAAAGGCCGCCCCCGGTTGATCTGTGTTGTCGTTTAGCCGAGCGCGGAATGTACTTGAGAGAAAACTGGGAGTCGGCTCAAACTGTGATTGATAAGGAAAAGTGGATTAAAAAGCTGTGGGATACGGTAGGAGACCTTTAAAATACTTTTTGGAAATCGGAAGTTCTGCAGACGGAAGTGGCGGTTTGATAGAGAACAGAGGATATTTGCTAGGGGTTTTTCAAGCGCCCATACACGGTTCTTGTTTGTTAGCGGGTGGGGGGGGGGCTTTATCGGGAGGAACTAGTTTTTTTAATGGCTCCCCTTATCTTAAATTACATTATTTTGAGCTGAATATAAAGCCTACGTAGATTTTTTGATGCTCTATCGAATAGCGCCAACAAAATGTCCAAAATTTTGAAATCCCGAAAAATAGCTTGCCAACCACATTTTCATGGTTATTTTTGCTTTTGTCATAACTTTCTTAAATTCTGGTGTTTTGATCCAGAATTAAAATTCTGAGTATATTTTTTATGCTCTACCAGGTAGCGATGATGTGGTCCTTAAAAAAATGAAATATTGAAAAATCTGCGACATTAAACTCCCGCCGCTCCATTAACGATGCAGAACCTCAAGCGCTTTCAAGGATTCATAAACGTTACGGCGACTAGTAACCCTGCTTGTTTGAGTAAGACTTTGGAAAAGTTCCAAACCCTTTATTCATTAAGTCTATTTGCGTCCGAATCCGTTGTTGAAGCCACCGCCTCCATTGAGGCCGCGACCTAAAAGCTTGGACTTAGCCTCTTGTTAGCTTAGCGAGCTTGGCTTGGAAAAAGCTTTGACGTCCAAATTTCCATTTCCTACCTCCGAAGCCGTTGTTGAAGCCACCGCCATTAAACCCTCGACCTCCAAAACCACCACCACTTCGGGGTCCTCCGCGAATAATCTCCTTTTCGATAATCTCCTCGAAGGGCCGAGCGCTAAATAAAAGTTGCACCGTAGCCGGGAGTAAATTACCAAACGACTGTGACGACAGCCAAGAGCAGGATGACGATCAACAATTTCATTCCGTTGTTTTGTTGATCAGCGCCAAGTCGCGCCTTTTATACTGATTCCTGCCGAAGAAAGCAAAGAGGGCAAGCTCCGAGCTCGGCCGAGGAGCCCGACCAACGAAACAAGGCACGGCTCGAAAACATAGCACATTGACTGTTTTCCCGAGATTTAAAGGGTTGCAAAAGGATGGAGCGCTTCCAGTTGATCACCGGGATGACCAGAATGTCCGAAAGTACAACTTCCTAAAATTTCACCTAAAAATTCTGAATTTCGGATGTTTAGGGAGTTGGTGCTGATCATTCCCACACTTGAGCGATCACCCTGGGGGTCCTCACTGGCTCTCTAGGAGGAAGTAGTTTTTGCACCAAGCGCCGGAAGATCCTGTCAATCAACCGATCACGAACAATCCATCTAGCAAGGTTGACCTGATTAAGGGAATTATGAAAGAAGACGCTAAGCGTTAAGATGCGATGCATGATGCTCAAGCCGTTTTCGGGGATGACAAAGATTCAACAGAAAACTTATCCCAAACGTGTCCCAAAAAAGTTGCTCTAGCTTTAGCGGTCCGCAGAAGTGCCCGATTTTCTCGCTAGGAGAGACGAGAAAACAAGCGCTTTTCTTATTTCAACATAGCCATTTGAATTCACGAATTTTAGGACCAACACCCATGAAAACTGCAGATTTTATGTAAACCCTGAAGGAAAATTTGCTACAGCTAACAGAACGGCGCTGTACGCATTTTGGAGACATTTTCATATCAAGCGGGGGCTAAGAAAACGAACTGTCAAACTGTAAAACGAAAAGCGTTTGTTTTCTCGTCTTTTAATGGATCGGATAAAATCATCTAGATCCAAGCTTTCTTCTAACCGCTAGAGGGAGTCGATTTTTTCCCAGACCTCCTGTATTCCAAGGCCCGTCCGGGCACGATCAGATCCGCAGGGTAATCCGTTGATCCTACCTTAATAATTTCAGGCATTATGCGCTCTCCGCTACTCTGAAAATCTTCGTTAAATATGTAGGGCCGCAGCTTACCCAGTTCTTCTGAACTCAGAAGAAGAGTCAGAAGATCATGAAGCCCCCGAAGGATCTTCTGATGCCTCTCTTCCAGTTTTTTGATACCCGTATCCTTATTTGAGCAAACTACAAAGTTTTTTCAATTTTTGTCTCCACGAAGCCTCTTGCTCAGGCCACTCCTCCAGTTCACTACGCTCCAAACGAGATCGCCAATGAGTTTCGGCCCTCCATACGCAGTTGATACCGTTTTCCGTAAGGATTGCCCTATCCTCGAACAGATCCATGGATGGGATCCCGAGATAGATTTTGATGAAAAATGGCCTTGACTTGCCCGGGCGCACCCGGCATTCCAATTTCTTTGCGACGGGCGCGGCCGTTGAGAGATGAGAGCCCGGGGTCTCAGGATCGCGGGCTCGGTCTAGAAATCGCCATTTTTGGGCACCGCGCTCACAGAACGCCCGGAAAAGGAGGGGGACGCGGAAGTTCTAGAGGGACCATATCAGGCAGACACTATCTTGCAGCGAAATCGGGAAGGGAATGTTCCAAAAAAATTGAAAATTTTGCATGCAAGGCAGGGAAATTTGTGTGAGATTGTGTAGCGTACAAGGCCAGATCTTTCTATCTAGTTGAAAGGGCTGAAAGGTATCGCTTTTGGGTGTAGTTTGTGGCGTAGTAGGAAAAATAGTGACAAGGATTTATTCAAACATCTTCAAAAAAAGCGTAAAATCAGAGTCGTTCTGTTAGTTTGAGCAAGCAATTTACATGCAGATTCTGTATAAAATCTGCGATTTGCATGGATTTTAGCCGCAAAAATTCGTGAATTAAAATGCTTAGAAGGAAAAACGAACAGTGCTTTTTCTCGTCTTACCGAGAGCTTTCAATAGCTACCTAAATCGTCAAAATCGGACACTTCTGGGCCAGTTAGAGGGGGTTCGATTATTTGGGTATCGTTTTGCGTGTAGTTTGTGGCGTAGCGTCGTGTAGTGTACTAGGAAAAGTAGTTTCAAGGGTTTATTCAAGCCCAGCGGGGCCAACTCGCGATAGAGATCAAGGGATACACATCGTATTGCATATTGCAAGCAGCTTATTTTCCTCCGTATCCTCCGCGGGGCTTGTTGTAGCCGTTGTTGCCGTAGGCGTTAGGCTGGGGTCCGTAGTTGTTCAAGCCGCCGCCGATGCCGTAGTTGCCGCCTCCGAGGCCTCCTTGGCCATACGAGCTTCCTCCGTACTTGTTTCCGTATGAGTTACCGCCTCCGTACTTGTTGCCACCTAGCAAAAGTCGAGTTAAGCCAAAATTCTATATACTAAAGTATCCTAACGCTCTGACAATCGGGTTCTGGACTGTTAGCGGGGGGAGGAGTATTTTTAATATTGGTTTTATAACTAAAAACTATGTAAAATGCTTTAAAAAGGTCTATATTTTGTTACAGGGCCGTAGAATTACAGGAAAAATTTGGTTCCCCACCTCAAACAGCCCAAAACCAAAAATTTTTGATTGACTCACCGTTGTAGTTATTGCCTCCCTGGTAGCCGTTTCCGCCCGGGTAGTTGTTTCCGTTGGGTCCAATGGGCCCTCCGAAGTTTCCGTTTCCTCCGAAGCCTCCAGTAGGTCCAACAGGGACGCCGGGTCCGATTCCGGTTCCAATGGGTCCCTGACCAACTCCAGATCCGATCGGGCCTTGGCCTCCGAAGCCAGGGTCATTCTGGGGTCCGTTGAAGCCTCCGGTGTTGGCTCCGGCTCCGATGTCAGCGCCGCCGTTAAAACCTCCAGCTCCTGCTCCAGCTCCAACATCAGCACCGCCGTTCAGAGACGGGGTGAAGCCGATCGGGCCGGGCATGTCGGCGGCGACACGGTCCGGGTCATCTCCGGCCCTGAATTCAAAGTTGTAGAAAATTTGAAGCATTGTTTCTTGGAAAATATGGCCTTTTGGAAAAGCCTTGTAAATCATCAAATACGATTTAAATCTTTAGTCGATAATTTAGGCCGGTTTTTGAACATTATCGGTGGGGATTTATTAGGAAAAATTTTCATAAATGTCGATATCGGAAGTGTTACCCTGCTTTTTACTATTTCTAAGCGTAAAGTTTTGTACAAAGTTTGATTAAAAACTACAAAAAATCTCGATTTTTCGACTAAAAAAACGACTTTTCGAGCAAAATCCTGACTTTTTGAAATTTTTTTAAAGTTTTTAGATAGTTTTTCTAGTTAAAATATACTTTGATCTTACTAAAAACATGAAAATATTTTCTACTAAATTCCTAGGCATTTCTAGTTTTATACAAAAAATCCCCCCCCCCCGTTATGCTATCGAACCTTCAAGGCGTTAACAAAATCTAAAAATTCAATAAAACTAAAAAGAACATACAATGCGACTCCGACGAAGGCGACGATGATGAGAACACGCATCTTATCTTGTGGTGTGGTGGTTTGAGGAGTTCTTGTGAGACTTCTCTGCTTTCCAGACACCGAACCCGGCACTTTTATAGGGGGACTCCAAAGGGGGGATATCGAGTCGTTGGGCGATCATTCCACCCCCACACACAACCCACAGGAACTACCCAAATTTCTGTAACCGATAAGATCTCGTCGATATCTCGTGTCTCAGCGCGTTCCCCGCGCACTCTCTAGCGCTGCGCGCGTTGACGCACAAAATTGGAGGTGTTGCGGGGACGGGAAAGGGACGGCTGACTCAGCGGGGAGGATGAGTCCATTTTTGAGGTCCAATTGGCCAAATGAGTGCATGTTTTTGCCTCATTTTCATTCCAGTGGAGAGCTTCTCTTTGGGGGGATGCGTGGGCGGATCGCATCATTGTAATAGTGGGGATGGCAGCCTTACCTATTTTTGATCGAGAACTTCGATTTATCGAGTTCTCGCGATTGCCTTGAACATAACATCCCGAAAATAGTGAATGATAAAAACTAATGAAAAATAAAACCAGCCTGTGAAAAATTGCAAAACAAGGTGCGTAAAACCCGATCAAATTTACCTTTCCAGGAACGCTGCCCCAACAGCTATTCGACCATCATCAAATCGCCGAGAAAGACCAAGGCCCCGATCAGACTTGAGGGCCGCCCAAAGTATTTTCAGGTATTTTTTTTTGTTGCTTTGCTGTCAGTTTGTCGAAAATCCTTTTGTCGAAATTTCATTTTGTCTAAATCAGAAGACGTTTTGCCGAAATTCCAATGCGCTGAAATTTCAATTTACGAAACTTCGACAAATTATTTTCGACTAAATGAAAATAAGACGTTTGGCTTGTTTCAAATATTATTTTTAGTTGTCCCATGACTACGAAAATTGTCGAAATTGGCCGCATACTGGCTGGGACCCGAGCCGATACAACGGCGCCAATGAGGATGACGATCGTGTTTATGCCGAACCTATAATTTTATCGGATAGTTCGGTAGGTTGTGAAACCTTGTCGTTGCCTTCTAATGTAGCCATTTCCGTATTTTTCTTATAGACAAATTTGTAGCGTGAAAACTCGAATGAAGGCTCGCTTTACTATGCTTCATCGGAGCTGATCACTCCTCCAAAACATCGAGGTCGTGAGTCGCCACTCGTATCTCCGTACGCAGAAGGCCTATGTCTGATCGAAAGTTATGAAAAGTAGGTTATTTTCAGCTCCTCAATAAGTTGCTATAGCGTAGTTCAACGCGCACGTTCTTTAAACCAAGCTTTTTTTCAGGGAGCTCCCAAAAACCCCGAAAGAACTCGCCTACGAGAAAAACGGAAAGCGTGCCGTTACGAGGAAGTTTGCATTCAAGTAAGTTCCGTAAACTTTTTCGGATCGGTAATCCACCGCGGCGCATCCCAACTTTATCGAGCTTGTGCAAACACATCTCGTCCCTCGACATTTATCTGTTGGCCCTCTCGCCAGTTGATTTCTGGCCCACCTTGCCAAATTCCGCATTATTCGTCAATTCCGGCTCTTTCGTATTATCCGGGGGAGGGGGGTTTGGTCTTAATCAAGAAATGCTAGTAATTTTATAGAATATTTTCAGAATGTTTTTAGTAAAATAAAACTATACCCCAACTAGAAAAACTATCTAAAGACTTTGGAAAAATTTTCAAAAAGCCCAGATATCGGTCATAAATCCGCCATTTTTTGTTAAAAAATCTATATTTTTTGTGTCTTTTTTAATACAATTTTTAAAGGTGTTACGTTTACGGATCGTAAGACAAACAGTTTAGAAACGCTCCATTATTTGTAGTGCAAAATTTGGTTCATAAGAAAAAATTTCCTCACCCCCCCGATAATGCCAAAGAACCTCCATTTAAAAATAGCTTTTGCACGCGATGTTTCATCAAACCCTCCCGTGACAATCGCTGAGTAATATGTGAATTGGCAAAAATAAAGCCCCCGCGCGTGTTTACGGTCCCCGGCGGGGGCTCTGAAGCCGGCGCTTCAATGAATTTCCATCCACCCGATCCTGGGTGACTGTCGCCTATTTTCATGCGTTCCATTTCCCGCTCGCCCTCCCCGGCCACTGCTCCCCCCGTTTTGCCGATGCTTGTTTATGCACTGAACAAATACACTCTCACGCACATACACCCACACTGTGCCAACCGGCAGCCAGCCGGGGCTCTGAATCGAAACCGTTTTTGCGGCTGACCCGTTTTGGACTAGATTCACTGTCTAGTTGTCGCTAAAGGAGGATATTTCTAACAGAGCTGGCTTGAATAAGCTATTCTTGAAACTTTGATGCAATTCGAGGAGCGGGCAATTGATATTGGGCCCTGTGATAGACCGGGGACTTCGAAATGTCTTGAAGACGAGATTTTATGCGGGTAAAAGTTTTATTTTTGGAAAAACCGGCAAAAAGAGCTTCTAAATATTTTTCTGTAATTAATACAAAACACGAAAAGAAGTGAAAAATCGATTTTCGGCTTTCGACTGCTTACGTAACACTCCACTGAACAGTTCCGTGTAAATAGGCGCGTAGTGTAGACAGCCCAGGGCCGATTTTCCTTGCATTTTTCGCCCGATTTCATGGTTCCCCACAACGAAAATGAGAGTCGAGCGTCGAAATGAGTGTTGGATAGAGTTTAGGTACTTTTTCGTGTTTTTAATGGTTTTATAGTTTCTCTTAAACAAGCCCTTTGAACCTTATGACCGGGGCAGCGCTTACTCATCCTGGCGTGATAGGGCGTTTTCCATGTGTTTTTTACGCAATTCAGCCCTGATAACGCGAAAAAGCGTTCCAGGTCCTTTTCTAACACTTCCGAAAACCGTTTTAGGTTCCAAGATTTCACACCAGCTAAGCGCGGGCTTTCACGGTCACGTTAACCCCATTCCCCGCGGATCGGCACCCAATTTTGGGCAGCGAAACTAGGGTTGCGCCGTGTCAGTGTGACGTTTATTGGCCATTGAGGGGATGGACAGGACAACCTTCGACTTTCCAGGAAATCAATTCGTGACTCGTCCGCCGCTGGGCTGCCCTCGCCGCTCGTCAAGCAGGACTCGGACGCTGTTGAGGTAGTTTTTGATGGGTTTAACATTCATCGATTTCGTCATTCTTTTTTAGTTTAGGTTTAATTTTTGAGGTTTTATAGCTTTTCCAAAGTTTTCTACTTTCTTTCACTTTTCTGGCAGATTGCCGATGTCAATTTGGTTTTGGGATTACTCGAAATCCTAGAGATCTGCGCTTTTGTAAATTTCGTTATTTCTTTTTTCGCTTTCTTCAAGTTTTGTTAACTTTTGCGCTTTCATTGCCCTTTTTCCTGCCCATTGCCGCTCTCAAAAAACGGATCACTTACCCCAAAACCTCAAGTTCAACGACAAAAACCAGTTCCGCGCATTTTCCTTGCCAAATCGATCCTGACTGGTTGTGGGCCGCCGGTGCAGTGTTGGCCCTTTTCATCGTATTATATTGGTCGTTTCGCCGACCCTCAACCAGTCTTTTTTCGCGTGTCAAATCGTCTGCAATGCGCGTTCCACATAGCGGGGGTGATTCAGCTTTTGGAGGCTTCGGTTTCGCTAGCTTTTTTTAGTTTATAGATAGTTTTTCAGGGCCAGAATTTCACGGCTTCACTCGAGCGCAGGCTGACCAGGGCCCGTCTGGTGCGGCGGAAGACGCTGGCTCCGTACGATAGTCAAGTGAGTTTTTCAAACCATTCTGAGAACCATACCAGTTTCAACATTTTTTTAAAGCTTTTTCGAGATAGGTTTTTCATAAAACCTGTAGTTTTCAACGTTTTAAGTATAGTTTTTAATCCTTTTTCGTTTCAGGTAAAAGCGTTCGTCAACCGCAAAGCCCCGCAACTCTTCGAGACCGCATTTCTCATCGAATTACGATCGGACGAGTAATTTTCTTACGTATATCGCTTACTCTTTTTTAGTGAGAATGCGAGCAACTCGTCGCGCCCGAGTTTCCGGCCTGAGGTGACGTATAGATTTCCGGAAGGAGGTAGTTTAATGATTTTTCGATTTTATGGCCGTTTTAGCGACGCAAACGCCTCCCCCGGAACTCTTCTTCCCCGATTTCTCGCACAACCCCGTCATCGAACCTACGGAGATTTGGGGTGGCGACCAGCAGTTTGTCGTCGCGCTAACGGATGGCCAAGGAGCAAGGTATGAAATTGTCGAGTTCGAATTTATTTGAATTTTAGAAAACACGCCTACTGCGTCAAATTTTTGCCGGAAGGACGGGAAGGTGCGTGGAATATTTCGGCGTTTTTATCAAGATGTTTTGTAGATTTTTCAAACGATAGCTCTTTTTGCAGAAGCCGTCACGCCACTCGTCTTCGTCATCGTGTCGCCCATCAAATGCGCCAATTTCTACTTGGAGCTGGCGGAAAAGGCCGTCGATTATTTGAGAACGAGCAGCCTGACCTCGCTGGAGGGTTTTCTCAAATCCGTATTCGGCCTAACGTTCCCAAAAGATCGAGGTTGGTGTGATAGCCTTGTTTTTCAACGTCAAAAAGATACTAATCTTCAGTACATATGTATTACAAATTTTCAGGAACCTGCCTCGTCGTCGTCGAACAAGCGCAAAACGGGATGAAGCGTCGCATCGAGCTCCGGAATACGGGCTCGTCGATGGGAAAGCGCGGAATCTCGGACGTTATGCAGGTTTTTGAGATCTGAAAAGCATAAAAAATTGCTTTCAGAAAATGTCGCCCGAGATTGTCGTCTCCGTAATCGCGGCACTACTTGGGGACCAGCGTGTGTTGATAGCGGGCAGTACGGTAAGTGCAGATATTTTGAATTTAGCGTATATTTAAAACCTATTTATATATATTCAATGAATTATAGTTTGGAGGGTGTTTTGAAAAACGCGGGATATTTTTCTCCCCCTTTTTCCTATGAGACCCTCCCAGAATGGCACCCGACAAACAAAACCGCCTGTTTTTTGCAAATCTAATTTTCTCGGGCCCACACACACCCCTTTTTCCGGATTGGGTG